GAGACCCGACGCGTGGGAAGCCCGGGAGAGTGACGAGCTAGACGGCTAGGCACTTTTGGACTTAGGTTTTTGTAGCTAAGCCGTTAGTCACCCATGCTTGACATAGAAAATTTTGTGTACAGGATTTAGTGTTAGTTATGATTGTATATATAAAGTGATAATTTTGTACATTCACTGGTAACTATTTGGTAAAGTAAAAAGGCTTAGATTTGAATTACCTGAATTGCTAAGTAAGAACTCAATAGGTCTCGAGCCTTGTGCATTTGTGGGCCCCGCTCACGAGTGCACGGCGTCTGTTTCGCCCTCGGTTTGGGGCGTGACACTCTCTCTCTCTCTCAATTTTCTGGTAAGATGTGAACATGAAACCAATCTCATTCTTTCTCTAATTTTAGTAGATTTAGTTGAATATTGACCATTTTAGATTTGTGGAAATAGCATAGGATTTATGGGGTATTCCATTCCTTGTCTTCTTGAAAGATTATGACAATGTTTGTCTAGTGTTTTGCTGCTGCATTTTGCTTGAATCTTGGTTGGTTGCTACAGCTTTTATTGCTGCAATTTTCTGCAATCTCGGCTGCTTTTACTGCTTCATTTTTCTGCATTTTCCTTGCTGTTTTTCTGCACTATTTTAGCCCAGAAAATTCTGCATTTTTCTGCACTTTCCCTTGTTGTTTCTACACTGTTTTAAACCAGAAAACTCTGCATTTCCTTGCACTTTTCCTTTCTGTTTTTCTACACTGTTTTAAACTAGAGAACTCTGCATTTCCCTGTACTTTCCTTGCTATTTTTTTGCACTGTTTTAGCCTAAAAAATTCTGCATTTATCCGCATTTTCCTTATTGTTTTCTGCATTGTTTTTCCCCCGAATTTTTTTTGTCATTTGCCAAAATTTTGCTACTCCTTGCCGAAAATGTTTGGAAGGTCAGCTGCCATCTTTGGAAATCTTTTATAATAATATGACTATGCGTGTGAATTAATATATATATATATATACTAGTAATGTTTTGGTGGGTAGAAATGGCAAGAGGAGATAGGGAGAAATTGTTACCTTGGATAGAAACTTGATTTTTTTTGGAATTAGAAGCCAATTTAACTAAATGGGGTACATTGTAATATTATTTGTTCTTTAATGTGGCATAGGTTCTAAGTCACCACCATCTCCTTGAAACCTTGAATAATTGCTATTGTAGCCTACAAAAAGAGGTAAGTAAAAGTATGATAATGCCTTTGGATTTGAGGTAAAGTTTTTTTAAAAGCATATTTCTGATGGTTTTTTGAAATGGTGGTGGGACTAAACCCGTTTTACACAAACATGAGCATGATTGGTTTGAAATGACATTATTATCATTTTCATTGAGTTGAGCATGCCTTCTTGGAGTTTACTTGACTGCCCTAATGATTTGAAAATTATTTGTAAATTATGGTTTTCTTGTTAAATCTTGCCTGGTTTTGTCTCCAATATGGTCATGTTTTACTGTGCCCGCTAGTGGGAGGTTTATAAACACTAGCACATGTCGACATGTTACTTATGGAATCAGTTCATTCTTGTTATACATGTTATCCCACTAGTGGAATTATACACTAACAAATCTTGTGCCCGCTAGTAGAAGGTTTATAAACGCTGGATATGACCTATAGATGAGACATCTATTTCATTCCCGTACTTGAACCCATTTTTCTTGATACTTGATTACACTTGTTGGCATGCTTTATACATTAAATAATAGCTCTCCATATTTTACTTGCTGAGTTGTCTCACTAGTTTTTCCTTGTCCACCATTTTAGGTGGTGTGACTCGAGATGTGGGAAACCAAGGGCAGTGATGAGCTAGGAGGCTAGTTACTTGTATTTTGGGCATTGATTTTTTTGAAATATGGATCATTCATTTATAAGCTAGATTTTACTTTGAGATGTTATGGTATTAGAGTAGATTTTGAGTTATTGATCTAAGTTTATGTGGATTGTTAGTTATGAATTTAGTAAGTTCCTAGCCTTGTGCATTTGTGGGTTCCTCTCACAAGTGTACGGTTTCTGTTTCGCCTCGGGATTTAGGTTTGGGGGCATGACATAGTCAAATACCATTAGTATTAATTATCTATTCTTTGATTCTAACTAGCATTTCAAGTCTAGATTGATTCCCAAATCTTTTACTTTTTTATCATATATCACTTCATGTGTTAGATTTCTATTTTTTCTATAGCTTTGGCTTATGCTGGATTCTACTCCAGGTGGCATTGGAAATTCTGTTGGAGTTATATTAAGATGTGTCTGATCCTTTTCTTCTTCACTTTCCTCTTCTATTTCCTTTTTTTGGGTATTCATTTTCATATTTTCTAATTGTTTAGTAGTTATAGTAATGGACAATTATACATACACCCAAACAATCAACACTCATCTCAACACCCAAGGCAAAAATGAGGAGAGGTAAATTTGTAATTTTACTATTCATAAGCCTTGGGTGTTGATTGTTTGGGTGTATGTATAATTATCCTATAGTAATATGCCTGCACAGATTATCTAGTTCTTCTGCATTTTCTTCTTTTAAGAATTTTTGTTCAAGTTCTTTCAACTTTTCTTCTTGGGTTTTTAATATAAAAAGTGTCATCCATTTTGATTTAGGCTTTTCCGTGAAAATCCTTGGGATTATTTTAAATCCTTCATTTTTATCTACAATATTTTATCTACTACAAACTGATATTATAGTATCTTGTAGATCCTTAAGTTGTGTCTAAATCTTATAAAAATTTTATCTATATCACTTTCTAGTTGTGGAATTATTTTGTTATACATTTTAAGTTTTTATTGTAAATTTTTCAGTGATTGCTTTTAATATCTTGAAAATTTCTTCTATTTTGATTACTATCTCTCTTACTCGATATATTAGAGTCTTTGAGTCTTTAATAGACCTTATTTCTTCTTTTATTTCTTTCAAATTTCTAGAGTTTTTGACATTATTTATTCTTTCTTTAATAGAATCAAATTCTTGAGAAAGGGATTTTCCCATTTCTTTAATTCTTCTTAGGGTATTTTCATTAATTGTTTCTATTTTTAGAATATTATCTATGATAATTGTATCTTCTATATCTATTATACTTTTCCTAATGTATTGAGGAAATACATGTTAATTTGATTTATTTGTTCATTGCTCATGCTGATAGAAGTGTATTAATAATATTTCTTAATGTATTTATTTTTTCTCTTTTTGTTCTTATTTTGTAATTAAGAGTTTTAACTCTTATTGTATTTTCAATACTTACTTCTAGAGCTTCTCTTTCTAAGTTTGCTAGGTTTCTCTCTTCGAATTAAGTTAGTTGCTCAATTTCATCGCAAGTTCTAACTAATCTATCTCTATAGAGTATCCCTTGATTCATTATATTTTATTGGGATTATAGTGTCACTCTTTTAAACTTAAAGGACTATTCTATTTTAATTCTAAGTTGATTCTTCCGTTAAAACTAACAAAACTCTTGTACATTAGATAATTCTGAAATATTTTCCAAAGTTTATAGACCACTTAGAAATAAAACATACTTTCTAGATTAAAATGAAATCAAGTTGATAGTTAATAGACTAATTTTTGAATTAAGCCAAAATGAGACTTCTTTTTCTCAGCTTTGTAGCCCATGTGACATGGTCCATGATTTGCAAAAATGAGAATGACACCATTTCCCACTGTCTACCACTACCTCTCACCGTATGTTATGAGGACATACAAATCTGCTATTGAGAAACTATTTTTGAATTTGGAAATGTACTAACGAGTGGGTATTGACTTAATTTAAGTAAAAAATCTCCTACCTTTCATATTTTTTCAGTTTTATCTATTATTTTTAAATTCTTCTAATTTTGTCTATTATTTTTCATATTCATTTTAATTTGATTAAATACTAATTTTGGTCCCTCAACTTTATAATGATGTACTTTTTTAGTCCCTCAACTATTTTTTCCACTTTTTTGATCCCTCAACTCTAAAAACTACACAATTTTGGTCCTTTCGTTAGTTTGAGCCACTAACTCCGTCCATGTGGTATTTTTTATATTTTTTTTGATGACATGGAAAAGACAACTGAAAAAGGTGTTGAAATGGGCAAAACATTATGCCATGCCCCTACAAATCAAATGTACCAAAAGCCCCTCAAATGGGCTGCACATTGCCTACAAAGAACTCATAAAGAAAGATGTCCTATGGATTGCTCTCAGGAGTAAAAAAATACAAAAACTTGAACAGAACAGAGAACATTTCACTTTCTTTGAACCTAAACCCTATACTTTGTGATTGCAGAAATTTTCTAAGAGGTTATCATGTCTTGTTCAATAATCCTCCAAAGTTCAAACTTGAACCCTAGATTTGCTAGGATTCCAAATATTTTGCCAAGGGAATCGAAGTTGCGATTGTTGGAAAGTCACTCGAAAGCAAGACTGATGGACCCCAATGTCCTTGAAATTGTTGATGTCGACTTGGAACCAAGCAAAGAGATTTTAGATGATGAGGTATTGAGATGGGTTTCCTTCTGCCTTTTTCTATTATTGTCTAACTGATAAAGAGGTACTTTTTTATACTGATATAGACCCTTGTCTGATAAAAGTGATGCAAAAAATTTGATGCATCTTGAACTACATGACTATTCGAGGAGGAAAGGACATTAGGTCCCCACTTAGACAGGAAGTTTGTGTCATTTTGTCTTTCCCATTTACTTTTGTAATGAAGAATAATTTCTTTATTGAGTAAAATTTTCTTAACAATTTAAAATTTTTTGCTTTGAATGTTATTGGTTGTCTGTTATGTTGACTCGCGTTCAGATTTGTATTGAGTAATTTATTTTGTTTTTTTTTTTCTTTATATACTAAGGTGGGCATGATTTAGTAAATGAGGAACAAACCAAATTTGTACTTATTTTCATTCATTTGAGTGGGAGGTTTGTACAGGGAGTTGATGATTCAATTTCATATGTTGATGGTGAATGTGATGATTGGATTATTACTAGGGATAGGTTGAACTGTTTGACCTTTATACTAAGATTGGTATTGTTGGATATGACGTTGATATGGTCAACCATATATGGTATTTAGAACCAAGAAAAACACTTACAGATGGTTTGAAACCTATTAGGAATGATGATGACATTAGGGATGTTTTGCGGGTGTTGAAGGTGGAGAAAAAGGTATATATTTATGTGTCTCATATCCCAGATTTCATTGAAATTGAAATTATACCTATCTTACTATTACCAGCCCTTAGTGATAAGGTTATGGTTGACAACAATCTTGTTGAGGTTGAGGGCATAGTAGAAAATGACCTTGTTAAGGTGGAAAGTAGAGCTGAGAATGTTGGTCATGAGGTTGAGGTTGAATGTAAAGTTGAGGATAATAATGAAGCTGTTGAAGAGGATAATATTGATCTGGGAAATGATGGTAATGAAGACAATGAATATTCTAAGGATGAAGATGATTTTTTTCCATATATATCAAAATTGAGTGATAATGAAGATAAGAAAATTGTCGAGACAAGAAAGAAAATGAAGTCTTTGCATGAGGCAACTTGCAGATCAAAAAATGCTAAGAATAGTGTTAATTATGGTCGCAGTCAACCATTAGTAGGTATTTCATCAACTTTTATTTTACTTAATTCATTAATGAGTTAATGGAATACATAGTAACATATATGCTTTGCCAGCAAAAATTAGTCATGAAATTCCCTCATCTTCAACTGGTCACAATGATCTTGGTCTTGATGATTCATTAGGCTCAGATTATGATATCAACTACATTTGAACAAGTGAAGAGGAAGGAAGTGAAGCTGAACATGCTAGGAGAAGGAAGGGTAGGCACAAAGTTTTTAGAGAAAAAAATGATGGCATGGCACATATTGAGTTAGGCATGGTTTTTCTAAATTAAACTCAAATTAGAAAAGCTGTGGATAAATTGAGCATTATCTAAAGGAGGCCAATTAGGTGGGTGAAGAATGATAAGAAGAGACAGAGGGCTATTTGTAAGGAAAGGCATTGTGATTGGAAGATTTTGTTAGCATGGGATAAGCCAATCGAGACATGGATGGTCAAGACATTTAATAGTGAACACACATGTGAAAGGGGATTGACCAATTGGAGATGCAATTCAACATTTACAATGAACCGTTTGTTGAAGATTAAGGATTTTATTACCATTTATTTGAAATGTGAAGATATTTTTACTGAATATGGGATGATTTGAACATGGAGTTGACTTGTGTGTAGTGTAGGATTATTAAAAAGAAGCTAAGAAAAACTTTTGAAGGGGATTATGTCTTGGAATGCAGCAAGTTTTTTGACTATGCTGTAGAACTGAGAAAAAGAGATCCAAGAGCCACTGTTTCAGTTAATGCGCTGAGGCCACTGCTTGAACTCGACCTTATTTTCTTGAGGATGTATGTGTGTTTTAGTGCAATGAAAAAGGAATTTATTATTGGATGTAGGAAAGCCATTGGTTTAGATGGAGCTTTTCTCAAAAGACCACACGAAGGGGAATTACTCACTGTTGTTAGTAGAGATGCGAATGACCAAATGTACCGAATTGCATGAGGTATAACGAAAGTTGAAAAGGAAGAAAGTTGGTCGTGGTTTTTGGAATAACTTAAATATGATTTGAAAATAGGAGATGGTGATGGTTATTCTATAATATCTTACCAGCAAAAGGTATAATATACTTCATTTTCATTTATACAATTTAGTGTACTTTTCAAGTTTTAGTTATATTGTCATGCATGCATGCCATGCATGCTGTGTTGTTGCAAAAAGTTTAGACATGCATTTTTTCTATCCTTAAACTTCAATATGTGCACTTTTTTGGTCCCCTAACTTTTTAGTTTTGCACTTTTTTGGTCCCTAATCTGATATCTCTTGTAGGTTTTTTTTTTTTTTTTTTGTTATTGTTGACACTATAATGCAATTGGTTAAATGTAAGGGTTGATAAATATTGTTGAGACTTTTTTCCAAATGCAGAACACAGACATTGTGTTAGTGTAATACCCCAAAAAATTTCAAGAATAAATAAGTGAGTTAGGGACTAACTTGTGAGAAAATATTATTTAGGGTTTGATGGCCAACATTTTGGAAGTTGAGGGACTTAAAGAGGAAAAATAATTGGATAAGGATGGCGTCTTTTCTTTTTCTTTTTCCTTCTTTCCCTCCTTCTTCAGCTCAATTCTGCTCTTCTTTTTCCCGTCCCCCTGCAGCTCCCAAAAACCCCTTCCAAGCCGCCGGCACCAGCCTTGAGGAAACTGGTAAAGAGCTTGATGTTTGGCCTTCTTTTCTTGTTCTAAGACTGAAATGGAACCCATAAATTCTCCCCTCTGCTGGAAAATCCAGATCTGCCCTGCTCTGCTTGGCTCTGTCCACCGGCTACTCTTGTTGTGGGGGCGAAATTCTTCAAATTCCGGTAAGCAACAGCCATGAATCTCCTTTCTCTAGCTTTGAATTGCCTTGGGTTTACCTTAATTGCTCTTGATTTCTCCAATGTTTGGGTAGTTCCTGTGAGTCCCCTGCATTGTCGCCGACTTCCCCCAACTGCAGTCCGGTTTTTGGCTGCTAAATTTTGGTATGGACAGCCCCTTTAAGCCTAAAATTATTCATTAGCTGCTGAGTTGTCCATGAATTATTGCTCTCCATGTGCTGCCCGTGAGAAATGGGGATGAATTTGACAGTATTTAGACCATGATTTAGCTTAATTCATG